AATAGTGGTCAACGATCAATGCAAGTCAACAGTAAACAGTCGGCCATTTTACACAAATATCACCCTAACAGAAATTAATTACAAAATTAACACCCTGCGGCCAGACGATGCCCACTCTCAGGGGGTGGCGCGTGGGATGCGTGAACAGTGGACACGGTGTCGAAAAATTTTGAACGGTGGTAAGCTCGATTCCGAAACATCAAAAACTTTGATTTTCTCACCCCTCCACGCGCCGGCGATGACAGAGAAACAGAGGACACCGACAGACTCGAAACAATGAAAGGAAGATGATGGTGCAGGAGGTGTCGAAAAAGGATGATCGGATCGTCATGAATCGACGAAAACCAGCTGAAATTGAGTTAAAACTGATGATACTTCCGATCGAAATTAACGACGAATGACACCGATTCACAACGAGAGGTTTGTTCATCGGTCGACAACGAACACGATGATGGTTTTGGTTCATCGATCGGAGGTCGGACGGCGAGTAGATCGGAGTTAAAAGGAGGGTTGAGGGGAAGGAAAAACTGAAAAAAAATCCCCTGGAAACCAACGGGGGAGAGAACTTATAATTCTCTCAAAAAGAAAAATGGTTAAATCATGAGCTTAGCCACTGAATTTCCTGCACTTCCTAAAATGGTATGCCAACTTTACGATTTTATAATTTAATCCCCAATTTCTTTTAAAAATACCAATTAAATTCACCACTTTATAATTTCTTAATTTTAGCCCCTAAATTGGGGTGTTACAAATGTACAAAAGATTAGACACCAAGAAAGGACAAAATGACATCTTCAGGCTTGCAAAATCCATGGAGAATAGGAAAAAGGATCTAGGTAGCATTAGGTTTATTAAAGACAACAATGGTGTTCTTTTAGTGAAAGATCATGATATTAAGAGGGTTTGGGGTAGTTACTTCTTTGGCTTATTTAATGACGGTGTCTCTCCCTATAGAGATAATATCGTTGATAGGTCAGCCGACCATCATACTATGACCAATGACTGCCCTACAAGTATGATTGGGTTTGAGGAAGTCAAAATGGCTCTTAGAAAGATGAGAAGGGACAAAGCTATCGGTCCAGATCAAATTCCTATCAGTGTGTGGCCGGCCCTAGGAGAAGAGGGAGTTAAGTGGTTGACCAACATCTTTAATATTATTTTAGAGACCGCCAAGATGCCAGAGGAGTGGAGAGAGTCTACGGTGATACCAATTTATAAGAATAAAGGAGATCCCCAACGTTGTGGCAACTACAGAGGTATTAAACTACTTAGCCATACCATGAAGCTATGGGAAAGGGTGATAGAGGCTAGGTTGAGACATGTTACTAGGGTTTCGAAAAACTAATTTGGCTATATGCCAGGTAGGTCTACTACGGAGGCGATTCATCTACTTCGATGGCTTATGAAGAAATATAGGGAAAAATATAGAGACTTCACATGGCGTTCATTGATCTCGAGAAGACGTATGATAGCGTTCCCCGCGATACAATATGGAAGACCTTGGAAACGAGACGGATCCTAACTACTTATATCCAGGCGATTCGTGATATGTACTGTAGATCTACTACATACCTCAGGACTATAGTTGGCGACACCGAGGCATTCCCGGTGGAAATTAGACTCCACCAGGGGTCGGCTCTTAGCCCTTACATCTTTGCCTTGATTATGGACGACATCTATTATGCGACACCAGATGGCGTACCATGGTGTATGCTTGTCACTGACGACATTGTCTTAGTTGCTGAAACAAAAACTGAGCATTTATGTTCAAACTTCAGTGGGAACCAAAACGATGAAGACGTAGAAGTATGCATAGAAGGACATGTTCTCCCCTCAAAGGACTGTTTTAAGTACCTAGGGTCTATGATACATAAAGATAGGGCGTAGATGATGACGTTACACACCGTATAAAGGCGGGATGGCTAAAGTGGAGGACTGCTACTGGAGTTTTGTGTGACAAGAAGGTGCCTCTAAAACTTAAGGGAAACTTTTATAGAATGGTAATAAGACCAACGCTGCTGTATGAATTAGAATATTGGGTAATCAAGAAGGATCACGTAAGGAGGATGTAGGCCGCAGAAATGAGAATGCTTCGATGGGTATGTGGTAGGACTCTGTGGGACATGACACCAAACTCTGCTATTAGGATGTCCTTGGGGGGTGATGCCTGTATCCGAAAAATTGATGGAGGGAAAACTACGGTGGTTTAGGCATGTCCTTAGGCGACAACCATCGGATGCGGTCAGAAGGGTAGAGTCGATTACAGTTGACGGTGCCAGAAGGAGAAGACGACCAAGGCGGAAGTGGGAAGATTGCTTGAGATCTGATTTGATGGATTTAGCCCTTACCGAGGACATGACCTCTGATAGGAAAGTATGAAGACTTAAGACCAGGGTAGCCGAGTAGTGCGGGTCACATCCATAGGGTGTATCATCTCTGTCTTCTTTTAATGCCTTTGTAGTAATTTCCATGACTTCTACTTTTTATATGTTTCTGTCATTGAAATTTATAAAGGCTTAGAACTAGGGTAGCGGAGTAAGGTTGCCTTAGTTTAGGTTTTAACCCATTTGGCTTTATTCCTTCTCGTAGCTGGCTATCGTTGACTTTTGTGTATCCTTCTCTTCATGTTTCCTCTTTTAAATTTAGTCGGGTCTTACGTTTCTGTCTACATGCAGAGATTTTTACGCAGTGATTTATTTGCAGGGATTACTTCCCATTACAGACGCGCATTTGATGACTGCATATAAAGAATGTTCAACTATGTACTTTTTTTATTTATACATGCATTGTATTTTTTCTATATTTTTAATTTTCTGATTGCCGGAGGTCTTCTACGGAAGCTGCTCTCAACCTGGCGTTGGGGGTAGCCTACTACCCTACCTCCCTCTTACCCTATTGCATATGGGAATAGGGTTTTGTTATTGTTGTTGTTGTTTACTTCAGCATCTAACAAACCGTACGGATGGACAAATTGACTTTTCCAAGGTAAAAAGTGAAAAGGTGAGTAGTATTCTATTTGATTTTAGGGTAAATTATGTGTTTAGTATTAAAATTATTACTTTTAATCCATTTTAGTACTTAAACTTTCAAAACTTTTAAAACAATGCCTAACGTTCAATTTTTGTTCATTGTAGTACATCGCCGTTAAAAACTCAAGGGCTGCATTTTTTGGATAAATTACATCATTCATCACTCTATTATCTTATCAATCCTATTTTGATACTAAAGTTTAAATTTTTTAATTTAACTACTTAACTTTCAAATTACTCATTTTAATCACTCTAATTTATTTTATTAATAATTTTTTTGATATGACATTTTTATTATTACTTTATTAATATATAATCAAAAATAAAAAATAAAATTGAAAGTTAGAGTGATTAAATTATGATTAATTTGAAAGTTAAGTAACTAAATTTAAAAAATAAACTTTAATAACCGAAATAGGAATGAGAAGATAGTTGAGCGATGAATGATACAATTTACCCATAAAAATTTACCATGCGCAAATGTTAAATTTTTAACTACAAGTTACTGAAACGAAACAAAAGCTAAATATTAAATATAATTTTAAAAAAATTTAAGTATTAAAATAAAACAAAACTAATAGTTTAAGTAATAAATTTGTAATTCACCCTTTAGTTTATTGCTTGGAATTGGAAAATTTGGCCTCGGATTCTCCTTGAAATCCCCACCAATGCACTAAGTTTATGATCTTAGCAGCTTTATTTATTAATGTAATCATTATTCAATAAGAAATAGTCAATAAAGAAGTTTATGGCCACAAAAATTATAAAATAAAAAACCCAAATATTTTATTTATCAAAATTTTGTAGCTTTAGTTGAGGAGGCTGACAACCTAACCATATACTTGTAAATCTTTGATTCTCCTAAACTTTCATGCTCATTTTTTGTTCCACAAGACAAGTTTTTCGCATGTCAAGGCACTCCATGTTCTATCCTCTTCTTTTTTTTTTATATAAAGAATATATATATATATATATATATATATATATATATATATAATATAATAATAATAAATTAATTATTAAGTAGTTTGATGAGATAAAATGTTAAATCTCTTATGTAAAGTTAAGACTTTAAATTCATACGGTATAAGAAAAATAAATTGGATTAAAAAAAATCATATTTATAATAGACATCTATAATATCTTTCTTAAATTAATTGATTTATAAACAGACTATAAATAATTATAAAAAGAAAAATCGAATCTCACGTACATAAATTATATAAGAATTTTTAGTTACTTATAATTCAAACTAACTTGGATGTTAAACTAATTTTATTTACTTTTCGCTAAATCTTATCAGCCCATGGGTGTAAAGAAATTTGATCCAAAGGTCCATTTGATAAATTCATTTTGGTTTCAAAATTAAGGTGAACAAAACTAGATTTCATTTAGGAAAAGTAATTTCTTCAAATTGACTCAATGTTAAAAAGTTTATCTCAATTTGACTTGTAATTTTATAAAATCGACCCAACTAAAAAATGTTAAATTCGAGTTGAATTATAAAATAGAATCCAAATAACTTGAAACTTTAAGTAATTAGTGGATTCGTTTTCAAGTTCGACTCAGAGTCTCAAACCCATCAATTTTGTATGATATATGTATATCACATCTGAGAAAATATGAAGAAATATACGTTTATATCGTATATAATTATAGAAAGTTGTTTACATTATAATCAATTAGTACCATAATATTATAAATATTTATAATTAAATAAATTTAAACAGAAACTCAAACATTTCGACTTGATTTGAATTTCATAAACTCGACTAAAAAAATTCAAAAAAAAATTGAGTTATAAAATCACATATCTATAACATATAGATCCAATAATAACAGTCTCCACTGTGTTAAGTAGAACATGTTAAGCTTCACAAAGACCAATTCAAATGCATACCAGAACCAAGAACTCTGCTATACGTGGAGCACTTGGTGCTGAGTCTGCAAAATTTGATATACATAGAACATGGAACTAATACAATCTCATTTGATGATCTCGTTCACAAGCCAGTCTAAACTCGGATACGCAAAGTATAGAATGAGGAACGACGGCAGTGCGACAAGAACGGTAAGAAGCATGTAGAGGGCCAAGATGACAACACTTGCAGGAATTGCATACATGGTGATCAAGAGAAATATGATCACTAATGGGAACTTGGCAGACAGATGGATGAAGAACACCATAGATTTCCAAAGGAAAGAATGTATTTGTTCTGAATTGAAGTCATAGGTAACGTGAACATGATTGCTGCTCGACCCTGATGACTCGGAATGACGATCAAGATTGTATTCCCTTCTGTGGTTACTCCGAGTCAATTGGTTTCCCGATGCTAAATTGTTGCTAGACGAACGGTCTGGCTGACGATCTTCGCACAAAGGATAACGAGAGTTCAACCTATTACAACTCCTGCTCTCAACCATCCAAAGTAAGAAATAGTTCTTTCGAGGGAACATGAGATTTCCCTTATAAATAAGGCGAAACGATAAGAGATTGCACCATGGGCAAGAGATGAAAAGCGGAAGTTGAACTGGCAGAGTAGGGAAGTTCACAGCAGCCCATTGAAGTCCTAGGATGCAGTTTATACAAAGGGTATGGCCACACCATAAAACATAGGGCACGTTTTCTACAACGTTGAATGATTCACAGCATATCGGGCAGTCTAAACCCTCATCGCTGCTGACGACAGAAGGGCTTTCGTTGTTTGAACATTCTTACTGTAGGCACCTTCATTCTTACTATCAGGAGTTCTTATGATTTTCCGTAAGTTGTGCAATTTAAACATTTGTTTTGGTCTTTGGTAATTGTAAAGGTAAGAAGAAGGAAAAGGATAGATGGCGGTACCACTTCTAAGTAAGAAAATCGTGAAGAAGAGGGTCAAGAAGTTCAAGAGACCCCAGAGTGACCGCAAAATCTCTGTTAAGGTAACTTCAAAATCTTCTATTTCCATTCATCTTTTACTTCCTTTCAAAAGTTCGATTTAAAACATCCTTTTGTGTAGTTTGATTTGAATTTTAGTTAACATGCACAGAGAAGTAAATCTTTGACACTGAGTTGTAAGATATCATTCGTATATTTGATCCATTTATTATGGTTGACATTATTTTCAACGTTTCATTTTGCTAGTGGATGTGATGATTGTTGTTTGATACCCAATCATACTTTCAGCTCTAGATGGAAGATGGTGATATCAATTGATAGCTAATCTGGTCCATTCTTATTAAAATAGAGTATTCTTTTTTGTATTACCGTATGATCCCTATTGCATTTTTTTCAAATTTCTGGTCAATTGATTTAATTGCTGGAGTACCTACTTTTTCTTCCATTTCCAAGCAATCTACGATGAAAAAGAATCATCGACATGATCTCTCAGTGATGATTATATAAAATAATTTCCATCTTTTGGTTGAGATTGTAGACATTTTCTGCAGCAAAAAGACTGAACATTTGTTAAATATATCGGTTATACTAAACTCATTCTGTTTAATTTCAATTAACTTCACATATTTGATGAGATTTCCCTCAGTCGTTTGCCCGTGGTATCTGATGTGCAATTCTTATATATTCATAGCTGGACATTTCGTTTTGAGGGCACATATAAAATTTTGAACAGGTCTTGCGACACAGTTAGCTTTTTCTCACACAAGCTTTCTGTTACTAAAACCTTTGGTCACATTGATATGCTTTTTGTAACCCTTTTAGTTTTTTTCCATGCTTGCAAATTCTAAGTGAGAAACTTGTTTGACTTATTGTGAATGTGCTGTTACAGACAAACTGGCGTAGACCAAAGGGTATTGATTCTTGTGTAAGAAGAAAATTTAAGGGATGCACTTTGATGCCCAACATTGGCTATGGTTTAGACAAGAAGACACGACATTATCTCCCAAATGGCTTTAAGAAATTTGTTGTGCACAATGTTGGAGAACTTGAACTTTTGATGATGCACAACAGGTAATCTAATGCATACTGTGTTTTATGCAACCGTTTAATGTATATACAATTTATTTTTGTGTTCTTATTTCACTTTTTATTGCTTTTCAGGACATATTGTGCTGAAATTGCCAATGATGTTTCGACAAAGAAGATAAAAGAGATCGTTGAACGGGCAGCACAGTTTGTAAGAATGGATACTCAACCAAATCTTTTGAATTTTAAAGGATACAATAATTTATAACTGTTCATGTCACGATTATATGCTGTGAAACTTTGCTGAAATAGACACAGGTGCCTCCGAGATCACTTATGCATTAAGCACTTCCGGTAGTACAAATTTTGGTAAGAGAGAAAAGTGGAAGGTCTTTGTTTTTTTACCATAAGCCTATAAAGCTGAACCTTTAGTTCAGATTCTAAAACTGCTTAAACTCAAAAGGAGGTTTACTTGGTGCTTGGGGTGTTGGTTTTGAGTTATATCAAGGTTGAGATGTTAGTCCCTGGATTTTGACTTTGGGTAGCAAGCAAGGGCCATTTTGGACTCCAAACAAAGAAAACTGAATTTGATGAAAAATTGTAGGACGAGTTGTTTTTAACTTGTAGTATGTAGAGTTGATCAAATTCTATTTACTTTTAACATCTTCAAGTAATTACATGGCAAGCCTCATAATAAGGCTAGAAAAGCAATGCATAAGCTACCAAAGTAGGGGCCTTAATTTTTTCCATATTGATGGCTTGATTGCGGCGGAAGAAGAAAATTAAGATGATAAGATATCTAAGAATCACTTGAATTAAGTTTTGATTTTTTTTTGGATAATTATTAAAATTACACATTAGTTATGTTAAATGCGTAAGTAATACATAAATATTAATTATGTACCAAAAGAAATACATAAATATTAATTTACAATTTTATATAATATATATAATTTTGATTTTTGTTTAATTGTATATATAAAATTTTAATTTAAGTATACACATTTAAAAAGTAAATGCATTCATTTATAATAAAGTCATCTTTTTATATTTTGGTAGGAGTAAAATGGTTCATCTATTAAAATGTTCATATGCTTATTTAGTTAAATGTTGATGTAAAATTTTAATATATTTTTGATAAATTATGTAAAATTTATTACTAATTAAAATTAAAATAATACATGATATATTTACTCTTTTATTCTATCCATTTATCTTTTAAATTTTATAAAAAAAATTATATATAAATTTTATTAAAAATAATATATATTAAAAATAATAAAGTAATATATTCTCGATGAATTTTTATATAAATATATTCATTTAAATATTTAGAATTTCACTTGTTAAAAAATATAGAAAAATGTCAATTTCATAAAATATACATTCCAATAATCTTTTATTCCTTCAACCAAACACTGTAATCTTACATTCCTGCCAAACAAACCAAACACAATAATGTAACATTCCCAATAATGTGCTAGGTAATGTTACATTCCGATAATCCTATTCCCGGAAGTAATCTTACATTCCGTGAACCAAACGCACCCATACTGGGTATTTTGGGGTGTTTTCCTTGTCTCAGGGAACAATATTTATTTGACGGGTAAATTACATCATTCATCATTCAACTATATTCTCACCTATATTTTGGTTATTAAAATTTAAAAAATTTCAATTTTCTTTATTCTACTTTGAACATTGAACTTTTTAGTTTTCTCTCCCCAATTATATAATGATATGATATTTTTATTAATTTTTGAATTATTTAATATTTTATTAATATTATTGTTTATTTTAGACCCACTTTTACGAATTATCTTCTCTATTCTAGTCTCTGTTATAAATCAACATGAGATACTCATATTTTCCCATGATAGTAGAGTTACGATTACCTTTCTGATGGATCATTATCTAAGACAATTTCAGATTATGGAAAAATATTTCAAGCCATAAATTAGAAATAGTCATTACTACATATCCTCCGGGTGTAGCACATTACAATAGCATGACAGAATAAAAGCCTTTAATTATTCAAGTTAGTTCATACTCATTTATAATAGTTTTTTTATTTCATCAAGTATCTTTGTAAAAGAATCATCACCAATAACGATAATTTTGTCATTTGAAAGATATCATGAGGTTGTTGATGCAATTTGAAAATTCCAACAAGTTCTTCAATTTTTTCACCACATAAATGTTATCACCCATTTTATCCGAGTGGTGACACACACGTGGCATTTCATATTATAGTATAAAATATAATAAATAATGTGGGCATAGTATATATATATATATATATATATAGTATATTTTAGGTATTAAATACATTACATCATCTAGTTTCATTTTTTGCATAAGGTAGTGTGCATATTATATAGTTGAATATATTATGTATTATAGTGTATTAAATAATAATTGCATGTTATTAATTCATGTGGTATTGCACGCTATTAATTCATGTTGCATTGCATGCTATTAATTCATGTTACATTAGGTGTTAAATAATTAGTATGTCACATTGCATATTATATGGTTCATAAATAGTAGTACATGTCATATTAATTTCATTTGTATAATTAGCATTTTAGTTGCATGTTAGATTAATTCACATTAATAGCCCATTTATTTTATTGTTATGAATTAGTAATAATAAAACTAAAAAATAAGTCCATTTGCATTAGTGCTAGTCCATTTACATTAATTTACATAGGCCCAATACATAAGCCCACTCTTTTATTACAAATATATATGCATTATTAAATAAAAACAAAAAACAAAGAAAGACCCTAATCTAATGTGTGCCATCAATTTTGTGGTGTAGGAGGGAAATTTTAGCTTTGATTTTTAAAGTCAAACAATGCATTAAATGGCTCAACTTTCAATGGAGCTTACATCACTTATCCATGTCTAGAAGCATAAACAAATCACAACCCTTGATAAGCCTTGATCCAAAGGCCATGAAAGCTTCAATCCAAGTGAAACAAGCACAAATTGATGAGGACCCTTGGATGGAAATCTTGGTCCAATGGCTCCCATGCTACCACATCATCGATCCATGGCTAAGAAGTACAAAGAAATCTAAGCCATTGGATCAAAAAATAGATCCAAGAGCCAAGATTGTGTCTTCTCCAAAAACCTAGGGCATTACCAACGTCCACCGTCGGCCGGGGAGAGTTCGCCGGCACGTCATCGTCGCGTGTGGCTCACGTGCCGGTCCGGTCGTCTTCCTCGGTGAGCCACCGTTGTATCACGCCACCACCGGTTGGGTTTCGAAGCATGCAAAAATCAATAAAAAAAATTTGGTTATCAAATCCAAGCTCATTCCAACCATTTTTTGAGAGAGAACAATTGGATTATGAACCGAAAATTATTAGTATAATTAGGAACTCCAATCATTATCATTAATCACTACTAATCATCAACTGAAGCAATATTCATCATCACCAAGCAACACTTTGAAAATCTTAAAGAAATAAGAAGAGTAGTGTTTTTTACCTTTGGGTTGGTACCATCGCCGTTCGTTGCTTATCCTGGGACCAAGGTGAGCTTTCCTTTATTGTACATTTATTTGTTTTTTTTCGAGGCTCGAAGGGGTTTTCGGTCGACATTAAAGGTAGCGACCAGCTAGAGTCAGATGGTGGTCGAGGTTAGTCGGTGCTTTCGGGTTTAGGTGAGGAAGTTGGGTTATGGTTCTTATGAACCATGGTGTTAGATTTAGAAGTCAAGAACATTAAGTTTGGATTTTGGGAATGTTCTGGGGGTTCTTGGGTATACGAAAAAAAAAGTTGGGTTTTGATCTTTGAAAAACATGTTTTGATTGTTTTTGGGTGTTGCTAGAGGATCAAAATTTGGATTTTAGGATGAACATTTGATATTTCATGAGAAATATGGGTGTTTGATCCCAAAAAAAAAATTGATTGAGTTTTGGTGTTGTTTTTGGATCAAAGCTTGGCTTTTAGATGAACAAAAGGATGAACATGAAGAACATGGTGGGTGTTTAGGTGATTTTTGGTTGGGAGGCTAGAGAGAATAAGGAGGAAGAGAGAATTTTTGGAGTTGAAAAGTGAGCTTCATGTTGTTGTTTTTTTTGCCTTATAGTATAGAATTTCCGGGTTATTTGCTTCATTAGAGCATTCACCTTTTAGCGTGTTTGGTTGTGGGCTCTGGCTTTTTATTTATTTTATTTTAGTCACCATTTGTTTATAATGTCTAATTTGTCACCTTTAATATTTGTTTTTAGGGTTTAATAATTGATTAATTATTTAATTTTTAAGGATGAAAATATTTCATTATTTCGATTAAAACATAAGAAATAACTGCCTTAATTCCAATTAGGGGTTAGTTTCTTCTTTAATTGGAAATAACAAATATTGTACATCTCTCTAAAATTTTAAAATGTTTTAGGGAATAAAAGAATCATTAATTAAATAAAAATTCAAATTTCTTAATTTTTAATATAGAGACAAATTAATAATCGGAGGCACCAATTTTGGGCGCTGTGGGGGTGTTAATCCTTCCCCAAGCGTAATCGACTCCCGAACCCAAAATCTCTTAATCGCAGACCAAATCCTATCTTTTTAAATTTTTATTTAAAAAGGTGTATCTCAGGTTTTCAACCTACCTAATCCCAAAGGTTGATGGCAATTCCAAACTTTTCTAATCTTTTCTTAAATTCAATTTTTTAAATTTATTCCGATTTCCACCACTTCGAAAAGTCGTTGTGACAGTTTGACGACTCCACTGGGGACAAACCAAAACCCTTGGTTTTCTCAAAGAGTCAGGCCTTAAAACAATTATACTTTGTCCCTATATTATAAAATTAGGAAATTTAGACTTATTTCATTCCCGATTATTTTAATTTCCCTATAATTTCCCTTCCTTTTAGATTATTCCTTTTAATTTTCTTTCGTACTCCCCTAATTCTTTTAACCAGTTATACTAATATGTGCATTGAGTGACTTTTTTAGATATTAGATATTTATGAGATTGCCTGGTTTATCTATGTTCCTTGCTCTGCTAATTTGATTAAATGTTTGAGTATTTCTCCCTACACACAACACGTATCATTCATGACATTCGATCTATACCCGAGTTGTCCTTTTTATGTAAGAGTGAAAATGACGTCTTTGTGAGAATTTATTCTTCGTATAGACCTAGCGAGTAACTTTTAGGGTCCAAAGTACCTATGTCTTCGTAGTGTCGCAACCG